TGCTATGTTTTCTTCACTGTTGTTTTCCCTTTTCGTGCCTACTTTGATTTGCTGTACTCGAGCCGAGAGTCCTCCGGAAACAGTGTTCTACCTCTATGCGGTAGGGGTAAGGTCTGCCAACATTCTACCTTCCCCAGACCCTACTTGTGGGATTCTCTGGTATTATGTTGCAGAAGTAATAGTGAGTAACCTTAGAAGCACATTCTGCGGTCTTATAAATGTATTGCAATCATAATTCAAAGTTCTTGTAGTGATGCTTCAAGAATTTTGATCCCTATGCTGCTCCCTCTTCCAGTTTGTGTACCAAGGGAAAGAAAGAGAATTAGGATAGTCTTTGTAGTATGAGAGTGAAATCAATATTCAATCAACTACATCTCACTCCAAACTAGTTGGGGATATTGGGATAACAAGACGACTGTTTTAGAATTTTCAGTTTTTAGAAATCTCACCAAGGTAGACAACTTGAAGCTCACCACACAACCCTAAGACAATGAGAGTCGTGATATTAGCTCCATGAACAGTATCCTTCCCTTCCCTTCCTGCCACCCACCTCCTAAATATTCATATTGCTTCCTGCGTCATGGGATATTGAAAAGTGAAGTACATAAGTTGCTACCTAGAGCTGTCAATCTCACCATAGATACCTTAACTATCCTTGTGACCAAATAGATTCCTCTCATTTGCACAAGTCTACTAGTGTTTTTTAGCGTCTTGGATATATTATAATTTATCTCCAACTGCTAAAAACATGGAAATTCTTATTTACCCTTAACTTCCATCAACATTTTCTCTCTCTTCACACCTGTACCATTGCCGTCACCACCACCCACTAACCTTTATCTCCCATAACCATCTTTAGCCTCCAATCCATCATCCACCACTCCAAACCCCTCCTTCAACAAAACCCATCAGCTGCCACACAAAACAGAAACAAACTCTCTGTACATTCTTCACATGATTTTCACACCATTAACTCCATAAACACTCAGTCATCCGAGAACCACCAAGAAATCATGTGTCATCCTTTGAGTCGTCAACGGCCACATTATCCGCGATCGTTACTCACATGTAACTTCTATCATACTTTGGGTGTTCATGAGGTACACTTGTGCCAACAAGAGGTACCTATCTGGTTCCAAGGATAGTTAGTGTTTTTCTGATCTTTGGCGACAACTTTAAATGTCAATCTATGTATTTTGCGTATTTGAAAAGACAAGTTACTTAAGGGTTTTATACCGAAGATAATATTTTCTTTTGTTTGACCAACAATGTACTAGTATATCAATTTTAATGGGTGCCTATAATGATGGAGCAGATTTAATATATTACTTTGCCTTTCAACAGTCGATGTACTAGTATCACTTGGGTGCCTAACAGTGATGGGGCTTTTGTTGTTGCTCATGCTGACGGAAATTTTTACGTCTATGATAAGGTAAGTGTTGTAACTAATTGGGAGTGTACCAATTTTCAGGTCTTTTTCAATGATCCTTATCTTTTCTGCTTTTCTTAAACCAATGTGCATTTTTGTTGTCATATTTCAGAGCAAAGACGGATCTGCTGATCCCTCATTTCCTGTCATCAAAGATCAAACTCATTTTTCAGTCGCCCATGCACGTTATAGTAAGGTATTTTGCTTGTGAATATAGTTCTTTTTTCAGCGTTTGATGATGTCCCCTGGTATCAGTACTGAGATTATCAATTTCTCATGCTTACCTTCAGCCATTTGGAAATTTCTTGGTTCATATATTCCCGCTTTCTATTAAGAACAACATTCTAACCTTTATAAAATAGCTATCAGTAAGCCAAGCATGTTCCTTCTGTGACATAAACAAGTTGGATGAAAGACATGTGTACAGTCAACTGCTTTCAGTATGTTGAGGCTGTTATTTAATTAGTAATACAGTCTCTGTTAGTAAATTAAGTTATCTCTCGGATATTAAGTATGAGACAAATTATATCATATCTTGCAATGGCTAATATTGCATTAGTTTGTTTAAAAAAGAATGACCTCTTTCCTTTTTAGTACATTTTAATTTCAGCTTTCCACGTAGCATATTTAAGGCCACAAGATTAAAGGGCAATTTTGTACATTTGCCATAACTTTAGTTTAGGACCACAAGATTCAAAAGTCTTTCTTTATTTTCTTGAACTCCATGACAAGTCACACTAGGCCACTCTTTTTGAAACGGAGGGAATATTATTTTACGTAGGAGGATGCAGAATAAGAGTAACGGGTCATTTGGTTAGGACCAAGTTATCCCGATATAATTAATCACGGGATAAGTCATGCCGACATGTATATGGGATAATTATGCCATCACTATAGCAAAATTGGTGGAATAAATAATCCATGGACTACCTAATACCTCCAACCAAACGTGGGATAAAATAATCCTACATTTTATTCTGGTATTATTATACCTTATACCTCATACCAAACGACTACTAATTGTATTAGCAAAACATAGATAAGAGTACCTAAAGACAAAAATGCATAAAGAGGCATCCCTGACCCGGCATAGCAATCCCTACATTATTTCTTACCACATGACAGTTCCTGCAATATTATTCGGTGCATAGAAATCCTCACGTTATTATTCACAGCAAAATAATCCCTTCATAACCTGTTCGGGAACCAAATAATCCCTAAAGAAGCAAGTTTACTGCTCAGTAAAAACATAAACAAAGTTCCAGTTTCATCTTCCTAAACACTGGACCAGTTTTTTCCATTATATGTTGACAAGCACGTTCTATGTTTATCTTGTCTGGAATAAAAACATTTAGTCTGCTTCTGCTCTACCAAAATTAGATGAATGTGTCGGTTAGTTTAGCAATTCATTGTGGCATTTTATTTAGCATCTCCTAATTGATTGTGGTAAGACTAAAACATATTTGTCTGTCTAGATCTCAAATCTAAGAACTACAGTTTTAAGTTCTTCCCTTCACATATTTCCGTTTGGCTTTTATATGCAGAATCCTGTAGCTAGATGGCATATTTGCCAAGGGTCCATCAATAGCATTGCTTTCTCAACTGATGGGGCGTATATTGCAACTGTAGGGAGGGATGGTATTTTCATCATGAGATGACTTGTGAATCTATTATATCTTTTGTTGTGATGATTTACCTTTACTGAATATGACTGATCTAATGCAGGTTATCTGCGTATATTTGACTACAAGAATGAACAGCTTATATGTGGTGGAAAAAGCTATTATGGTGCTCTGTTATGTTGTGCTTGGAGGTGAGTGTTTATGGTTTTTTTGTGCGTGTCGTATTTGTAACTTGAAGTCACTTTTGCCTTGTGGACCATGCAGCACACATTCCCCTCCCACCTTCCTACGCCCACTCCCACTCCCACAGATGCCCACACACAAATGAATGCATGTTGTTTTATTGTTTTGGCTAGAAAGAGTATCTATACTGATTGTACATGAACCAACAGCATGGATGGAAAGTACGTTTTAGCTGGTGGAGAAGATGACCTAGTTCAGGTTTGGAGCATGGAAGAACGCAAAGTTGTTGCCTGGGGCGAGGGGCATAACTCCTGGGTGAGTTTCGAGCAGTTATTACTTACCTTGGTTTCTATGCAGCATTCATGCTTATTCTCTTAACTTGTGTCTGGCAGGTCAGTGGTGTGGCATTTGATTCATATTGGTCAGCACCAAATTCAGATGGCACAGATGAAAATGTGGTCTACCGTTTTGGTTCTGTTGGTCAGGTACATTTTCAAAATAAAAGGCTCATATTTTTGAGTTTACATGTCACTATTTTACTTGGTCTTTAATTTGCTCATTCAAGATTAAACGTTTCTGTGTTCCATAATATTTTTCTTGCCTTGGTCATAATATGATTTTCAAAGACTGATCTGTTTTGAGGTGTTTCTGCTTGACAATCTCCTTTCTAGCTGTTTTTGACTTGATACCTCTTTGAAGGACACACAATTGCTCTTATGGGATCTGGAAATGGATGAAATTGTAGTACCAATGCGCCGTCCTCATGGTGGATCACCAACTTACAGCACGGGGAGTCAGTCCTCTCATTGGGATAGGGCTTGCCCTGTTGGTACGCTGCAGCCTGCTCCAAGCATGCGAGATGTTCCAAAGCTATCGCCCCTGGTCAGTCACCGTGTTCACACTGAACCACTCTCTGGCGTGATGTTTACTCAGGAATCAGTTCTTACTATCTGCCGTGAGGGGCATATAAAGGTTTGGGTGAGACCAGAGTTTGGTGAAACTCAAACTAGCAACTCAGAGTCTTTACTAGGTACTAGTTTGAAGGAGAAGCCACCGATATCAGGAAAGGTTGTCAGTTCCAAGTTTCAAGCAATGACCTAACAGTAATCACATTTTGTGTGTGTTTGGGGGAGGGGGTTGCAGAACGGCGTATTCACTAAATGGAGCTCCATCTACAAATGCTAGTAACCATTTATTTGTCTTCAGATTTGCTTGCACTGAGATTGACCAACTAATTGTATAGCGAACAATGAAGATGCTGTCGGGAACATCAGGAGGTTAGAAGAGTGTCGAAGCAGCTTGTAAGTATGATAGGCAAAAATAATTTGAGGTTTGTCTCTTGAGAGATATGTAATTCCTATTTCCTCCCTTTGTTTTCAGCCAATTTTGCTAAGAAACAGTTGGTTGACAATTACTTATATTGGATTAACTCATAGTACGAAACATTTAGAGCTGTTTGTCATCGAATTTTTCTTTTGCCTGTTGGTTAGGTGAGGCAACAACCTGCAAAGAACAAGATTTAGGGTGATATTGGAAGGAGGTGAATCATTATTTCGTTGTTATTGTTTTGTTTTTTTTTTCGAAATGCTTTGTCTTGTTTTCCATATTAGTTGTCATGTTTCATTTTTCCGTAACTACAATGATGTGTTGCAGTTGAGTCCAAACATATCCACTATGTAGCTTTTCAGTCTACAAACATACCAACTAACCATGTAGCTTCTGCTATCTAAGCCAAGCTAGACTGAAAAGAAGGATTGAGTTATGAGTTCAGTAGAATCAAGCAACTTTATTCTAAGTTTAAAAATTCGTTTAATATGTACAAATATTTTATTCAGGACTCCATAAAACAGAACAAATTCTGGTAATTTGTTATTTTGTTTGATTAAGTACAGTTCAAATCAGCAAATTGCCATCTACCTCCTTGTTGTAACCATTTCAGACTGTGTTAATACATATAATGAAAATTCTGCTGTTGCTATACATTATTTAACTCCGTGTATTGGTCTTTCCCCTGGAAAAATAAAAAATAAATGTTAAAATAAACATTCGTTTCACTTTGTTTGACGTAATTTGACTTGATACTGGAGTTAAACATGTCATATAACATTTGTACGGCTACAAAAAGCTTAAATATAAAAATGTATAAGGAAATAACGGAGGGAGAGTATTAACAAGGGCGTAAAATACTAAATTGATGAACTTACCGCATTTCTTGACATACTTGTTGGAAACACCATCATTTTTCAGTCACTGGATACTGAGGAAAAAAGGAATATGTTTATACAAAGGCGGAGCCACAATTTTCAATGTAGAGTGTAGTGTAAGAGCAAAAGTTACTAGGTTCAGCCAGACCTGTATTCAGGCATCTAGCTTCGCCCCTGTTTTTATACATTAATGGTGGTTGTCACGACTGTTACTCTTCAGCAGCTTCGCTGACCTTAATCTCCAAGAATCGCTCAACTGGCTGACGACAAATAGGACAACGATTTGTTTGGAACCTCAAAACTTGTGCACATCCACTGCACATGCACTGGATTTAAGATGCACAGTTAGTTTTCATATCCATCAATAGTGTTACATCACAATCATTTTAAACAAGAAAGATGAAGAAGAGTGTTAAGATAAAAGAGTAGAATACATACCATGTGGCGGCATGGAAGTACAGTAGTGTCTCGAGGTTCAGAAAGACATACGACACATTCCTTCCCATTATCGTTTCCATCAAAGTCCTTATCAACTGAATTCCCGATGCCATAAATCTCTTGCAATTCATACCTCATGCCATTGACCCAGAGGATTTGCTTCACCACCCTAATTTTGAATTCGCCTTTCTCCTTTTCAAAAACTGCCTGAGTAATCTGGAAATTTGTGGACACTGCATTTCCATCCTCCAATGCCTCTGCCTTCACCGCCAGCTCATATATATCTGCATTACACAAGTCTGCCTCTCCAAACATGGAAACATCAATGCCACTTCTAGAGGATTGCCTAAATTTCTGAGATAAACCTTTTTTAAATTGAATGGTTATTGGTGGAAGTAAACTTTCCTTCATAGGAGTCAAGCAACAATCTTCACCTTCTTTTGCAAAGAAAATGACAGTCAAGCTGCAATTAAACAAAACAAAAAAAAAGTACTTTTATTATCTCAGGGCAGACAATATCGTGCGAGCAGAGGCAGAGCCAAAATTTTTAATTTCTCAATTATAAAGGTGGCTCGGTCTCTGGTAGATATACTTTACCACTACCTCGTGGACAATATATACAAATTTACACATATTTAACGACCAACAATGACTGTGGTGAAACAGTAATTACTACATTTCGGCTTCTTTACTAGTGATCTTAATTTGTGAATCGGGCCCAATGTAGATATCGAACATCAAGAGGGAGGATAATGTTTACCTTCCAGCTACGGTAGCATCGAAATCGAAAGCGACGAGGTATTTTCCAGGATTAGCTTCATCCGCCTCTATCCTTAGAGTCTCCTTCTTCAGATTCACATCATTACGTATCGTCACAGCTTTTTGATGCTCCACATAAGGTGCAGGCGTTGGAGGTATCATGGGTGGTCCACACGGGTAACCGCCATTAACCCAATTTGCATAATTAGGGTTCATAGGGTGGTGGGAATGCTGTTCATACGGCGGCGGATAATAACCCGGGTACTGATAGTACGGTGTCGTATTACGATTTTGCTGATAAGAATATGGTGGCGATGCTGCGTCAAATACGTAACTGTTGCCGGTGATCTCCCGCTGTGGCAGGTGGCTCCGCCGGTGGCTGTAATTTCTTCTCCGGCCATTCATACCATTACTTCCGGTATTACCCATCTAAATAATTTCTACCCTTTTACCCAAAATCAAAATTTATCTCCCAAATTAAAGATCATGGGTAAAAGGGATTAATTAATTTTGTGGTAATGGCAATTGGCAAAGGGTTAATTATGTTATAATTAAATGGATTAATTGAATGGAACTGGAATATTAATTGCATGTATTAGCGGTTGGCTTATAATTTTTCTTCGTTTTAGATTGCATGCATGCATAATTAACATGTATGTTTTAATAGTATTAACTTTTTGGATTAAATCAACGTATCATAATATGTATATTAAAAGCGGTATTGCATTATTTTGATAAATGTTTAATGAGTATATATTTTATTCATGTTAGGTTTTATTTATTTGATAAGTTTTTTTATTAACGTGGGATTAATCTATTACTGAAAAACGTTTATAAAGCACTTTCAAAATATATATTATTAAAATTTTAAAAATACTCTCAACATAAAAGCAGACACATCGATAAAGAGATTTTGTTTCTATCCTTATTGATGTTATTTGTTACCAAATAAAACAACTATAATTGAGTTATTTACTCACCTATAAATGTTATTAATAATCTTTCGACCTTCTCATTATTTAATTAGCAGTTTTGCAAGTCTTGTACCAGTTATCTATTGAACATTTTATTATTTTCTGATTGAATTTTCTTGGAATAAAAATGAGTAGACTTGTATCAATTGTCTATATATCAAATATTGATCAACATTTAATTATACTGTCTTTAGCTTGCGTGATCAATAAAATTCGTTTTAAAAAAAAAAGATTTATTTAAACACACACTTGTTTATCACCAAATAGTATATTACATGCATGGAGCATTAACCATACAACTCCAATTTATTTTCTTGAGGCTAAACAGACACATATATAAACACTCGATATGAGTAAATTTTCTCTCCAAATTAACCAACTCGGGGAGTTTGTACAACATAGTCCAACACGTTAACAAAAAGACGAACTCGATTACATCTAAGATCCTTTGTTACTGGAGAACCATTGAGTACATTTGGAATATTAGTTAGTCTTCGATTTTCCTTCTGAATTATTCTCTTAGCCAACTTTGCTGGTACTCCAAGAAGTTCTGGCCATGTATCCTTTTTAACCCCTATGATTAATTTATACATATATGATGAAAATAGTAATAAACACTATTTATACATGCACAAACAATTAGGTAATATAATAATTATAAATTTATAATAATATATAGGAATTACTATAAGCACGAGATGAAGAGTTTTTATTAACCAAACCTGGACAAATGGACTGCGCGGTGAGAGGTTGGATATAGACTGTTCATAAGATAATTAATTTTCGTTACAATAATAAATACAAATAAATGTGAAAAAACTACTACTAAAAGATGCGTCATTGAAATATGAAATTTTTGATAAAATTCACGTTTTTTTTAATAGCGAAAGGGAAAAAAATGAAAATTAATGAGAGGAGAATAAGGACTAATTACTTGATGAAAGAAGCAAGAAAGCTACCACTAGAGTTAACTTCTCCATAATCTTTTATCTAAATTTACTTTGCTTTAATTTTGTGTGTGTTAGATTCATTTGGTTTTTATGGAGATATTTATAGGAAAAACTAGTGTTTTTTAAAGCAACCATAGCATATTATTAATAATAAATATTGTTGAAGATAAGTGTGATGAGTTGTCAACTATAGGCTGTTATTAATTAATTTTTATTTATTTGTTGACATTTTGTATAAATTGATTTTCTTGTAGTTCTCCTTTACTTAAAATAAAATTGTATTATCGTTGAATGTTTTACAATATTACGTGTTCTTTAGAAAAAAAAAATCCAACACGTACGGTTTAAGCAAATGATCTATATAATTAATACTAATGTCAAGATTTTTAGGCTTTAATTAATCATGAAAGTACTTGTATTAATTTTAGTGTTTGCTATGAGTCTAAGTTTTCGCTTAAAAAAATATGTGTATGTAAGGAGCGACTCTGTTAGAAATTGACCATACGATTTAATTAGGGCTCGGATTTATCATTTTAAAATAAAATTTGATTCATAAGTTTATGTTTTATAAATTTTTTTGTTATTTTAAAGTTCGCAATAAAATATCCGTGTTTGACATGGATAAATTATCATTACTATTATTTTGATTTTTTGTACTACTTATTTTTTTTATAAAATTATATGAATCTGAAAGTTTGTAATGGTATGTAATGATAAATATTTATTTATAAAGAAACATGAACATATGTGATTTATAAATTAATGCGACTTCTTACGATATTTCAATACTTTGTTTATTAGATACGTTTTTTAGATTTGACAAGATTGTATAAGAGTTACGTTGAGGAAGTTTTAATAACTTTCACAAATTATGAGATTTTGCATATTTATTAAATAATTAACACAATTTAAGAAATTCAAATTATATAAAAAAAATAATCAAATTTTGGATATATTCTAATCATATCCGAACGACCCTAATAATATAGAATTCCCAATTTTTGAATAGTGAACTCGGACTTTTTTTTTTTTTTTTTATAAAATAAAATACTTATATAGTATTTAGCTTAGGCATTTTAAGCAAATGATTATTGAAAAAAGTTAGAAATTGATATAAATATTTTCGAAATGAATTGTTTTTGTTTTTTTTGTTCAACCTATAGAAGGAGCACTATGATATATAAGATGGGGGGATATTTAAAAAAAGCATATATAAAACACATTTTTCTAATTGCCTTTCAAGTTTGAACTTTGATTATCAAAAGTCCAAAAATCATAATATAAAAACAAAGAAAGTGACCCTAATCGTGCAAACATTAATTCTATTAATACAATTTTTCTTTTTCAATACATTATATTACATAAATTTGGTTTTTCAATTTCATAAGACCAATGTTTACATTTTAAATATTGGAATACGCATAACTAGTTCTTTAACAACCGGATAAATTAAATCTTCTGGAATAATAATTGAGTTTATCATAAATTATTTATAAATTCATACGTATATGAGAAAGAAAAAAAAACATTAGATATACACAAACAAGAAGGATCATTTGATAGTTGGTTAGAGTTATATAGATATTAGTAATGTACATGTTTAGTTTTAAGTAAACCTATGTATTATTTCATACATATAGTCGTTTGGTAGTTATGGTGGCGAATTAGTTATAGATAAATATTTCATCTTCTATCTCGCATAAAATAGTATATAGATTATCTCATAACTTATACATGTATTAGTTATGCGAGTTTCTAAATTACCAATCAAATGTCATATTAATGTTATATATGAATAACTTAATCTCTATCTATTTACCAAATATCGTATAAATACACGAATAACTTATTTCTTATCTAGCTATGAATGAACATAATAGTAATATAAAGGAATATATGATAAGATGATGAGTTTTAAAAACCAAACCTTGGCAACTGGATTGAGCCGTGAGAGGTTGAGTAAAGACTGTTCATATATAAAATAATTTACATCAATTTTTGTTTGAATAAGCTGAAAAATATGTGTAAAAATACTACCCAAAAAAAACGAATTTTATTTATAAATTAAATATGGGAATTAATTAATGAGAGATGGAAATAAGGACTTATAACGTACATGAAGAAAGAAGCAAGAAAACAACCATGATTGTTAACTTCTCCATATAACTAACTACTTATGCTTTAATTAATCCAAATAATAAAATGAATAAAAACAAAATAACTACTTGTAGAAATGCTCTTGGTGCAAGTTAATTACTCTAATTAAGAAAATTATGCCTGAATTTCTTCCTAAAAATGAGTAGACTTTTATTTTTAATATGATCTCAAATTTTTCAAACATGTTCTAATTACATTTAATAGATAAGTCATCCCTTTTAAACTAAAGAAATTAAAGAACTTCTCTAATTAAGGAATTACGAAAACTTCCATCTACACTCACAAATAATTTAAAGTAAATACAATATGTTTGGAAGTTATCTCAAAATAACTACTTATGCTTTAATTAATCCAAATAATAAAATGACTAAAATAGAATAAACACAAAATAAAAGAAAGCCACATTTATTTATCACCAAATATTGAATTACAAGCCTGGAGCACTAATCATACGGCTCCAAATTTTATTCTTGACCTAATAAGCTGGTTGATGTATACATTCGAAACAAATAATATGTTTCTTCGTATATATATAAATATATATATTTTTTTAACCAATTCGAGGAACTTGTACGACAAAATCCAAAATATTAATAAAAAGACGAACTCGATCACATCGAAAATCTTGTGTAACAGGTGAACCATTTTGTACATTTCCAATATTAGTTAGTCTTGGATTTTCCTTTTGAATTATTTCCCTAGCCAATCTTGCTGGTACACCAAGAAGTTCTGGCCATGTTTCTTTTCTCACTCCTGTAATAATTTATTAACATTTATGAAAAAAATAAATAAGAATTATTATATATGGGCAAATAATTTAGCAATATACTATATGATAAATTAAGAAGAGTTTTATAAATCAAACCTGGGCAACCGGATTGAGCCGTGAGAGGTTGAATCACTGTTCATATAGAATGATTAACTATTAATTTTTGTCTGAATAAATAGGAAAAAGAAAATACTACTAAAAATATAAATATGTTAATTTCATTTGAAATATTTTATTACTTGATAGAAAGTCAGTTGAAAACATTTCATATGAATTAATTCCCAACTGATTTCTTTCAAAATTTGCATATTTTAATTATAGTGGAAGTAAAAACATATAAATATGAGAATTAGTAAAAAATATATTTTATTAAAATATATATATATATTCACTAATCAAACATGAAAAAAAATCAGAAGAGACAATACTATGCAATTATTCCAACAAATAAATTCATTTTCTTGATGTTAAGGAGCTTATTTTCCCATAAATTTATTTTATCAAAAAATAAAAAAAGATCTTTACTACTCAAACATGATAATTCAGAAAGACAATTATATGCACTATTCCAACAAACTAATTCAAGATTGATGATTAAGGAACTTCTTTTTTCTAAAAAAATGAATTTCATTAAAGAAAAAATAATTTTACTAACTGAACATGAAAAAATCAGAAAATATTTTTTTTTCTATATCGAAGAAAACCTAAATGAGAATTAATAAGAGAGGGAAATAAGGGCAAATTAACATACATGATGCAAGAAGCAAGAAGACAACCACAAGAGTTAACTTCTCCATAGTCTTTTCTTCTAAATTTTCTAGTTTTGATGAGTTGCATTCATTTGGTTTTATGGGGATATTTATAGGAGATATTTGTTTCCCTAATAACCAAACCATATAGTAAATTAATTAATTTAATTTTGAAGAGATAAAGCTTGATGAGTTGCCGACTACATGTTTGTTGATTTTTTCTTTATATGTTGACATTTTGCATCCATTGACGTTCTTGCTTGTTGTACTTTATATTACTAAAATAATCATATAAAAATTGAGTGTTTTACGAAATACCATGTAGATTTTGACATAAAAAATTATCGATGTAAACTTTGATTAAAATGCAAAAAAAATTGTAGAGTATAAGATTTTTGATATAGACAAAGCATTTCTTATCAAAATTCACATTTTTTTTTCATACTAGAAAGATAAATTAGAAGAAACAATCTGTTTTAGAATTTGATAGTTTAAATTTAAATGAAAAAGTCTCACGTAAAAGATAAAATACTCCCAACACGAAGCAATCCATTCCCGTTTCTCAAAGTTCGAACTATAATTTCATTTAAGCTACAATTATACTTATTATTTACGGTAATTTTTTTTGATGGTTAGAAAACCAAAAAAATAAAAGAATAATATAAAAGGTCAAAGGAACATTAGCGAATATTTTGAAAAAAGACGTAAATAATAATTAAGACACATTCGTGATAGGGTTTAAAATTGTTTTTGAACTTTGGTGATCATTTAAAAGTCCAATTAATAACCAAAATATTAAATAAAGATAGTTGCTCTAATCGTTCAAACATTGTAGTACGAAATTTCCTTTTCAATATACATTATATTATAGTACAAGTTTGGTTAATTGTTGATGATACGCAATCTTCTACTTTTGTTATTTATATTACATAATGATCAATGACCATTTCTTTGTTTAAGATATAAAAATGAAGAAATCTTGTAAATAGCCAATAAAATAATCTTAATTAGGTTTTATAATTATATTTTGCTGATTACAATTCATAGATATATGTTAGAGGGAGGATATAGACGAACGAGATTGGAAGAGGAAGGAGAAAGGCAAGCGAGAGAGGGCACATAGTGGAGAAAAACGAATTGTATTTATATATCTGTCATATAATTGTATATATGTTACTGATATACATATGTATCAATGATTATATTATATATGATAGTTATACATATGTATCAATAATTATATTTGTATATTTGCATACTTCTCTCTACATATTATATAATATGCATAGGTATCAAAAAATGCAATAGTATTAAAGAAATACAATTTGTATGACTGAATAAATTGTATATAATCATATCAATTAGAATATGTACAAGAGCAGAGAAAGGTGAGAGGGGATGTAACAGATAAAATTAAGTTGCAAGTGA